CCCCGGACCCGGTTGACAGTACCAGCTGTTGCAGTACCACCAGCACAGTCTGTACCGTCGCCGCAGCTCCCGTGGTCCCGGCAGTTTCTGCCTCATCTGCCGTCGGGGTCGCTCCCAACCCAGCCGGCGGTGGTAGTAACAATTCACCGTCGTCCTCTTCTTCCCCGACTTCTTCCTCATCTTCCTCTCCATCCTCCCCCGGATCGAGCTTGGCGGAGAGTCCCGAGGCGGCCGGAGTTAACAGCACAGCAACCCTGGGGCCTGGGGCAGCGGGACCTGGTCCAGGGGTCCCAGCAGTGAGCGGGGCCCTCCGGGAACTGTTGGAGGCCTGTCGCAATGGGGACGTGTCCCGGGTAAAGAGGCTGGTGGACGCGGCAAACGTGAATGCAAAGGACATGGCCGGCCGGAAGTCTTCTCCCCTGCACTTCGCTGCAGGTCAGAGACTTTTAATTGTTAAGGGTTTAGGTTTTGGGTACGGGGGTCTGAGTAGGGGAAGAAAACAAGTTATGATAAAACAATGGGGGCGTAGTTATGGTTCTTCTACACCTCTCGGGAAGGTTAGAGGTTCCTTTCTTTAGGTCGTGCCTGGGTGACGGGGGCGTGGTAGTGGAATTTGCGAATCCATTCTTTTTGGTGTTTGCACAGTGATACTGATACTCATTTCCAAACTCCTTTGGTGGCAGTCTCAGGATATGGGCATACTTAAACTTTTTCAGTTCCGAGTGTAGGAATAAAGTTAGATTTGAACAGACTTAAGAGTAGTTTTGTTGTTTGTTTGTTGGCTTATTTCGTTTTTTACAAGAGAATATCCCATAAGGACAGTCTAGACCAAAAAAAGTTTAATATAACTCATTTAGTGTTTAAGTACCTATCTTAGTAAGAGAGTCAGTTTGTCTCAATGAGAGACAAATGAGTTAGTGAAACTCCATTTTTCAAGGTTTACAGTCTGATTGGGTAGATCAAAATAAGACTATATGTAACAGCTGGGGAAGAATATTTAGATGCATTATGTGATAGAAGAAATACAGCTTTGAAGTTCTGGACCCTGCTATTCGTTAGTTGTGTAACAATTTACTTTATGAAAATTGCCTCCATTTTCTCTCATGGGCAAAAATAATGTACTATTTAGTATATTAGTATACTAATATACTATTGTGTGGGGTTTTAATGAGAAGTATCTGGCATAAGTTCTCACCCCCCAAAAAAAAACCCCACGAATTCCTAAACCTTGGACCACTACACACTTTTGTCTTTTTTTTTTTTTAGGCAAGTAGTTGATTATTTTCTTTTAAAAACACGTAATGTGTTTTTTATAAAATACAGAGAAATTTAAAACAGAAAGGACCACAAGTCACTGCCTAGGTACCAACTATTGATATTGTAAAAAAAAAAAGATAATATTTATATTAGAAATGTTTATGTTATACATACATTATAAAATTCACGTAATACAGAAAGATAAAATGAAAAACCTCTTCCACATGCAAAGATCAAAGATAATAAATACACTGAAGATAACTGCTGTTAAGTTTCTTGCTGTGTTTCTAATATATGTTACTCCTTCAGTTTGTTCTGTTAATAGTAAAGCATATGTTAAGAACTTCTAAATGTATTGTTTATTTTTACCACAACCTGAAAAATACATTTATCCTCATTTTACAGATGACAAAACTGAAGCACATAGTGCTTAAATAAGCCCACGTTTACACAGAAATTAGTGGAACCTGGATGTAAAACTCAGTTTGATTTTAGAGTTTGTGAAATCAAGCTTAAATGAGTATAACCTGTACCTGGTTTAAGGTCACTTTTTTAAGTTTGTGAGTAGTTGTGAGTTCTACTGTGGCAGTGTTTGGAGGGAAGAAGTAATTGGGGGCATATACTCCAAGAGTTGGGTTCACACTTTATTTTTTTTCAGCCCATACTTAGAAATAAATTTTACTTTGTCACACACACAAACTGAACCAGAAGTTTCAGGAAACAATTATTTCCCTTACTACATGTGTTGTACTCTGATATTTTATATCCGATTCCATTTCCTTTCTTACAAATGCTGTTTGTGATCCCGTTAATGAGTCATGATCAGCAGTATGAGAAACACTTGCAGGAAATCATTAGCTCGCTGGATCTGTTCTTGAAATGTAGACCCTACATTAGGAATGTAGTAAATTGAATCGTAAATGGGCTTCCATCTAAGTAGATATATGCTCAAAGGTGTTGCTTGTTTTAGATGAAATAATATTTCTTTAGGCCAAATGAAAGATGTATAATGAATCTAGCGAGGCTGTTTGCTTTTACAGACTTTATTCCAAATTTGACTATTTTAACACATTGTTTCAAAATCTTGTCATTTCTCACCATACTGCATTGTAAGTCATCACTAATAGATGATAGTTATATTAATTTGTGTAATAATTTATTTATTTAGAATTAGTCACACATAAAATAATGCTTGTCTCCCAAATCAATGTCTTGCCACAATAGTTACTTTTTATTCTGTTTCAGAGTTTTTAATGTGTACCCAGATAAGCTAGAAGACAGATGGTAAAACAGTCCTGTAATTACGTTGTAGTTATGAGAACCTAATCTTGTACTGGCTTTTTTAGGGAAGAAAATAATTTTTTAGTTTGTTATGGAAAACAAAACAAAAACAGTAAAAAAAAAAATCACACCTGTAGTCTAAATTTCCTATGCTTTCCTGTTTGTGTTCATAGCATAAAGCTTTGTTAAATCTAGTCTTCTCCATCGTGTATGTTGGGTAGTTAAAAGTAATTCTCAGTTGACTATTAGTTGGTTAGAATGCTAGTCACTGGATGTCATGGAATAGCTAGGTAGCGTGGAATAGACACAGAAATTGGTACAATCCCTTGGATGGAAAAGTTTAAAAATTGTAGTTCATTTGTTCCACAAATCTTTTATTACATATCATAGGTCATGTGTTAAATATTGACACCGTTTTGAAGTGGCAAATAGTCCCTACCTTTATGGAGCATATAGTCCAGTGGGGGAAACTCAACAACAATATCAAAACCCCACAAAGTGTGTAACCTAGAATGATAGGAAAAGTACATTGTACTCTCTTTTGGAGCAGGCAGTAGGGACTCTTGTCCTGATTTTAGATCATTTAGAGAAGTCTTTCTAGATAAATAGATTTTTTTAAAGCAGGGATTTAAAGGATGAATCCAAGCTAGGCAAACAAAGATGGGAAGAAAGAATGTTAATTAATGCTTTTATTTCCATTTAAAAATTAGTTTATAGTTCTACAGAATGGAATGAAACCATTTTTAAGGATCTCTGAAATGGTGTGAAGTCATATTTAAATCCTTATGCCCTTTAAAAAAAATTACCATGAGAATAACCATAATTCTTTCCAGCAGCAGAATTAAGAATCCTTTCTATCCCAACTGTGATAGTTATTTGTTTAAAATATGAGTTAGAGACAGTATTAATAATGGAATCACCGTACCCATAATTAGAAGCATAATCTTCAGTTTTCACTGTTGATACAGGTTCTCAAAGTACTATTTCTAATGCCTTCTTAGGCTGGCAAAATCAAAAGGATACAGTCTTATTGTTAACTAGAGTTTATACAAGACTTTTTCTTCTACAGATAAGATCCTTGACTCTGGTTTTCTATTGTTAAAAGGACAGTAGTCAAAGCTTTAGAAATAGCATACATTTAGAGTGATATTATCTCCTTAGTTCATTTCCTGCTAGTGACATATTTTTGCTTAAAGGACCAGTATATTCTGAGAGGTCTCTTTTTAAAGAAAAGTTCAGATGAGGTCTTTGTTAAAAAAGGCTTTAATAAAGCATTGAATTCTGAAATTTCATGGTATTTACTTTAAATTGAAGAAATTTTGAAATAGGTTTCCTGGTAGTTAACTAACATATGATTTGGATTAGGATATGTAATATGAGGTACTTCAGTATCAAAACTAGCAAATTATATAGAGTAGTTTTATGCTTTCTTTTGATATGAGTGGTATCTACATCAACACACATATAACCATATAGAGGTTGCCTGACTCCTGATTTTTTTCAGCGTGACCATGCTTGTCTTTTTCTCCCCTATCACTGTACAAATGTAGTTTCTAGTAAAAAAAACCACTGTGTTCCATCAGTGGGTAAAAATATGAATCAGAATGCTTCAGTCCTGGAATGAGAATCTTTCTAAACTTTCCATTGTCTGGCAAGGTCCTTGATATACTTTTAAGCACACGTCTTTCCTCTGGGTTTAGGAAAGGTCTAATTTGTTAATAGAAAGAAAGGAACTAGTTTTAGTTTCATAAATATCTTCCCAACTTAAAATTGTTGGCTACAAACTAATTATCTTTTCCTTAGTGTTTTCTTAAAACCACATGCTTTCCTTAAGGTACCACTTCTTAAAAAAGTTCACATAGAACTTTTAGTTAAGAAAAATGTAAAAAGTGTCTCTTTTGCCTTTATGATAACACTCTTTGAATTTAAAGAACAAATTAGTTAAGGTGTTATGTAAAAGTATCTCTTAATAGTGAAAAGTTGGTAACAAACTGTTCAACAATAGAGGAATGCTTACGCCACTTAAAAATACTGTATGATTTCTGTTATCTGTCTGCTTTTAGTTTCCTCTATCCATCAATCTATCCCTGTTTTTTAATGATGTGTAAATTGTAGGCATTTGTGCAGCTTCCCCTAGATACACCGAGATGCATATCATTATCTAGAGTTCCGTATTGGTTTAAAGATTTGTCTTTTAATGTAAAATCTATACAAATCTTAACACACATATTCACTGAGTTTTGACAAGTGCAGACACCTGTGTAACTCAAATCCTTATGGAAAGACAACCTCAGAAAGTTCCCTCATGCTCCTTCCCTCAGTCCCTTCTCGTTTCCTCTCTTCCCTGCAGAAACATTGTTCTGACTTTTTTCCAGCATAGATTGAGTTGTGTGCTTTAAAAGTTCATATAAATGGAGTCATGCAATATTTACTCTTTTTCTGTAAGACTTCTTTTGCCCAGCTTAATATTTTTGCTGTCATAACATGTATCAGTAGTTCCTTTTTACTGCTGAATAAGTATTTCATTATATTAGTTTGCTACATTTGGTTTATCCCTTCTCCTATTTTTAGACCCTTAGGCCGTTTCCAGTTTTTGGCTATTATGAACAAAGCTGTTAGGGACATTCTTGTAAAATTCTTTTTGTGAACATAGATTTTCTTTCTCTTGAGCCAACACTTAGTACTGGAATTGCTGGGTTTTAGGGTAGGTAAATGTTCAATTTTACAAGAAACTGCCAGATCTTTTCCCCAAGTGGTTGTACCATTTTACATTCCCATCAACAGCATATGAGAGTCCCAGTTGTTCCATATCTTTGCCAGCATTTGATGTTCTCTGATGTTTTCCTTTTAACCATTCTGGTGGGAATGTGTGGTATCTCATTATGGTTTTATTTTAC